ATAGATTGGATTTTGGTAAACATATGCGGGTGTAATTCCAACAACAAACACTAAATGGGAAATCTCTACCTCGCATTCAAATGATAAAGATGCTAAATAGTGAGGATTTTCGTTTTCAGATGACATCCACCGTATGACTCACAGAACGCTGGACGCAGGACATTAACCTACGCGTAAATTAGTAAATAATCCTAATTAACTCGACTCCGCTAGGTTGCACTTCATTAGATTATGTCAATTCGCCTCGCCAGCAAACGTGGATAACATTTTTGATACCACAACACACATGTAAAAATAGGGAACTCAAAGGTAGCCCACATATATCGTGCTCAGATATACTAATACTAGCATATACTTCCATCTTCCGCATCATCTCCCTACTAGTGTCATTAAACGATTGAGATCCGGTGCAGATAACAGAGGCAACATGCGTATGTAACATCTTAACAATGTTTATACTCTGAATGCTAATAAGACCATATGTCGAGTTGTAAAAAAAGGCATAAAGCACCCAATAGGGGACTTGTTGCTTACCGAACACGAGCGGCAGTGCACCCAGGGCCCATGCCCAGAAGCACATGCAAGTTGAGTCATGCGCGCAGATAAACAGTGTGGGCATACGACCGTTCACCCCTTAGGAACTATCGATCAGCGTGCAGATGTGACGCCTGTTCATACAGTGTGGCAAATTATTGAGCAGCGTAGAGGCTAGAACACCGGTCACACACCATAGGTCGCGATTGTTCCAGAAGGGGCAAGACTTTATAACTACACTGGAGTAGGCAAGCTGAGAAATCCGTTGTCTTTGTGTTGTCCTGAATAAAGCCCTTGCCAGCAGAACCGGCTCTTGGTCTTCTTTTCTGGCTACTTCACAAGTCAGAACAGAAGCGTAAATTACAGCCTTGGTCTAATAGGTAATGCATCCACTCATGCTCACAGAGATAAAGAGAGAGACTGAGAAAACGGTTTGTGGAGAAAATTAAATTGTTCAATTTTTCTGTGTAAGTTGCGCACGTCTACCATCACCTGAAAATAACTCACGCGCATTGTAGTAGCGCACATAGGATCCAGCCTCGGTCTTTTTGACTCTGCCTTGACATCGGCTAATTAGGTGAGGGAAGTTAAAGAGCGGTAGATACTGCGAAAGCCACCGTTCCTTCACCAGCATAGACAGGGATGGTCAAACCGGTTGGCATAAGATGATGTGGTGGCCTGTATATACCCCGAGCGGCGATTTGTTTTGGTCAAATTTAGTCTCAACACT